TGATTGCGATTAGACAGCTAGTTTTTGTATTTTTTAAATAAAGTTGCCTTGTAAAACTAGAAAGAGTTTGGATTGAAATTACTTTCCTTGAACGGGGTTTGGAAATAAATTTAAATATTTTCACAACTGCAAATTCCCGTTATGTTATTTGGACATAGCTAAATAATTGATATATAAAAACTGACTAAACTTTAGGAGCAACTCACCGATGAGGTACACTGGATGACGTCACGACAGTTGTCGCCCTCGCCGGCCACCAGGCGGAACCACTCGCCGGCGTCCTTGTCCTTGCAGAGCTCCTTCTCGAAGGACTCCTCCTTCTTGGTCTCCTCGGTGGTAGCCTGTCGCCTGAATCTCAGCAGCGGATCGCTGGCACTGGCTGCAAGTCGAAAAGAGGGAAATGGAATTAAAATTGGAAATGAAAATGGATGTAGTGGAGTAGTTGCAGTTGGCCTGCCAGTTGCCAAACCGGAAGAATTTCTACGGCGAATGTGGGTTGGGCCGGCGCAGCCATGTCGCCACGGCCTGGCACTTCCTGTTACAAAAACACAGATACGGGTGGATTCGGCTGTGGCTTATAGACATGGCATGCGGTCGGGCTGGTTGCTGGTGTGTTGGCCGAAAAAAAACACGTTTGGCATTATGAAATACGATGTCACCAGAGAACCGAGCGCAGAAACAGAAATAAATGTCGGAGCCAGCGCAAAATACTCGTACAGACAGAAAGCGTTCCGAAACCCGTTGCGCCTGCGCTATAACTTTGACATTTTGCATCTTGCGACTTGGCAACAGCCCAGCAGTTGGCATCGATGTCCAAGTCTGTCGCGGATCTCGGATCTCTGAACTCGAATTCGAATTCGAAGTAGAGGGAGTTGCCACATTTGCATAACTGTTAATTGACAGGCAGCAACAAGCCAGTGTTTATGCTGCGACTTTAATCATGATCGATGGCCTGTCAAAGTCAAGTCGCGGCGAATCGATTCCTATTCAGATTCGGAATTGGATTTGGATTCATAAAACTGCATTCCCAAAGCTCAAATGTCAACCTGAATGGGTTTCCCCGCGGCTCAAGGTGGCCGATCACTTGTCCCTTATGAAAATGAAAGTTGTTTCCTGAACTAGTTGCAGCTGGCTCGTCCTTTTTGCATAATCAAGGTTACCACATTCACATCTCGAAAACGGCTTTTCAATTTCGTTTTCGATTTTCCTCTTTGTTTTTTCTGCCTCGTTTTTGCTCTTCTGAAGGCCGAACCAGTCGAGCAGTTTTAATTGATGTCTTGACAACTTCCGACAGCCAAATGCAAATTGCAGTTCAATAATTAAAACTTATGACTAGGCCGTGGCATAAAATATGTATTTCAGTGGAGACCTTACCTTCGTTTAAGGCCGCCAAAGCCAAAACGGCAAAAACCACAAACAGTTTTGCCATCTTAAGTTGGACTTGGGATTCGATCAGTATTTGTCCGTTGCTGCACAGTTTTTTCAGAGTTTGTCTTTTTTATGGTATCACACTATTGGGAAAATAACACTTGTGTGGAGTCGACGGCGGAGAGCAAGTTTTGTCCTTCCGATCGCTATCAAAGCTCCATTTACACTGTTTGCTACGATGCCGCGCACAATTTCTCGAACCCCTCTCTGACACCAAAGCCCAAGACGAAGTCAAATTTGCTTCTTTTATTACACGGCGGCGGCGACGTCTCTTTCGTGCATCTGTGGTGAGTTTTGGAAAGCTTTCCTGCACCTCCGATCGGCGATCGGTGATCGATGGTCGGTTGGATCACCAGGGGTAATCCCGAATGCGATCCACAAAAAGCTCCCACTGATCGCTGATCACTGATCTACTGGTGAGCCCGGCTTTTTGGCTTTTCGGTCGGAGTCTCTGTGTGTGTGTTGCACAAGTCTTGGCCCGATCGTGACCGGATCGTGCTCGAAAAGAAGAGAGAAGTGCGGCACGTACGCGACCACTCTTTTATATGCAAAATGATGGCGGCTTTCGACTCGCACTGCGAGGTGAGAAGTGAAGCCGCCGTTGTGGATTGCAAGTGCCCGGAGTTTGGAACGCCCTGCCTGCCAGTCTGCAAACGGCACTGTGGCACTATGGCACTATGGCACTTCTGGCCACAATGGCAGATTCCAGAACGTCTGAGGGGTCTCTTGACTGTTATCCAACTCCCGGGACTAGCCCTCTCTATTGTTGGCAAGGTGTTGGATGTGTGTCAGCCAAACACTCCGACTCTGGGCGTGCCCACGCAGTCGCAAAGTCGCCAAAAATGCATTTTTAATCATCCTACATACGAGCATTAACGTATTTATGAGTTGGATTTTGGTTTCGGAATCTCCCTAGCTTAGGGTATATTAACTGGTCGATGCAGTTGCTAACAGGGTGTCATCAGTGCGTATGATTGATGCTACAATGCGGCTACTATAATAGTTTATCTGGCTTGACATAAGAATAAGGAGGAGAGAGTAAATATTATTATTAAAACAAAGGTATTCGGCTCATTAACTTCTTAAAAATATTTAGTACTTTTTAGAAATTGGCGTTCCCGAGTAATATATTTCTGGTTTTAATGTCGCAATGCAAAGGTCAAGCATTAAATTTTAAATATAAAATGGTTTCTCTAGCAACATTTTAGGTGGTTAATGTAGTAAAGGAAGTATTCATAGTTCAAAGTAAAAGGATATTTGAAGCCTTATCAAGTATATGTCACATACTAAAAATAATACAAACAAATTGGTAAGAGTATGTAAAGTTCGGTTAACTTAAATACGTTTTAGAAAGATACATCTTTCGAATTTTTATTTAATTTGACGGCTAAGTAGTTCCTCTCCGCCGTCTGGTCGTTCCAATTTAAAAGCTGTTATTGTTTTTACCCGCAGCGACCTTGATCATTTTAAAGCCAAATTAAAGCCATTTATGGCCCACAGAGTGATACGTCGTGGCTCGACGACTGCTAACTGACAGAGAGGCGTCTAAAGGCGTGACGAACTGCCACCAACTTGAGCGTTTTTCTGCTTTTTTGTCCGCGACTGGTGGCTCCAACTCTAAAGTGTGCCAAAGTGCTTTGCCGTTCGGCGAGAGACCTTTCTGAATTTCTGAATTGCCATTGTCTATTTTTGCCACTCTTGACATTTGCATAGAGGAGTAAGGCTGACTGCCAATTGCCAACTGCCAACTGCCGACTGGCCTAGCCTGGTCTGGCTTGGCCTGGCTCTCGGCTTGAATTTCCAATTAAGATTAAGTAAAATAAGTCTTTGGCTTGGACTGTTTCCGCTTCAACGCATACGCATAACATCTGCCTGATGAAATTTGCGTCAATTGGAGAACCTGTTTTCCATTTCATTAAAATTTGATCATCTCGATTCAGCGAATTCTTGCAAAATATTCAATGAAATTCATGCTTAAAACCGCAAAACTTTACGATCGGGTAAATTTATAAATTCCCAATTACTAGGGAACCACTTGTTCCTTTCCCTTTTATTGGTTTTTTTTATCATTTATCGGTATAATAATATTGGTCACCAGACAAGCGTAATGCAATCCTTGATCGAATACTTGCCTGAAATGTTTGCTTACTCCATACTCAGTAAGTTACTATTTCGTAAACTATTTAGTTTTTTATAAACCTCAAATTTATCCATAACAGAAATCCATAGAAATTTGAATTAAAAAATTAATAAAGTAAATTGGAATAATAATATGTTTTGTCAAAGCTTGTAAAAACTGCTTAACGATGCTTCTCTCTATCACTGTCAAACAACCTTATACAAACTACAAATTTGTTATGACATACTAGTATATCTATGTAAATTAGTATATATCGAAATTTCGGATAATGATAAAAATATTTTTAATCTATAACATTAATTAAAATATCCTTCAAAGACGTACTTAAATCAATAGCTTCGATATAAAAATCATAGCCATGTCGATACGTGACATGTCGAACGTGACACAATTTCATGCGTTCGACTACTTCCTCGTCGTACGCGATTACTAGAGGCTTGTCCAATTTTATGAATATTTCAGGGACCGAAAATGATGATAGTTTTTGTTTTTCTTTGCCAAAAATAATTAGTCATTATTAAAAAGAACATCAAGGAGCTTTGACCTGTTACATCTACTCAAAACCACCATGACTTTTATTTTTTTTTTTAGTATTTCAAAAGTCTCAATGTATACTATTAAATATTTTTATATAAAGGATAAAACTGGGCATTGGAAATAGCAGGAAATAAGGTGGTCATTGAGTGCGAGGGATATAAAATCGTTTTGCAATACTTAGGAAATTATTTTAAAGAGGACATTTGTAGATTTTTTATGATTTTATGATTTTTTTTTGTTGTCCAATGCCTCTTGGCATTACTTCTATTAGGAAACGAAAGATTGTCATATTTTTGGGAATAATTTAACAAACTTTACTGTTAGTACTTTAACCATCAGCCGTATATTTGCGCTGATGAACTTGTTGATTCCATATTGTGATTGTTATGGCTTTTCTTGTAAACAACTTTATTACTTAAAATGTTTACGGACTGCAAAAACTGTAAATTTGCTTGAGTAAGGTTTTTCAGTAAGTATAATGTTTTCGCACTCTTTTAAAGTTCTCGATTTCCTTATATTTCCAAATGATTTGATAAAATTGGTATTTAAAAATTGGATTTTAAATCAGCTTTAACAGACGCAAACAGCGAGGAGTGTTAAAAAACAATAATTTTAGTTTCCAAATCTGTACCAATTGGCCAAAGTTCTTCACGCTCGAAAGTAATAATTTCGGCACCCAAAACGTTACTAGAATTTAGTAGAAACTTCTCACCGACTTCGTAAAAATTAAATCAAATTTGAGTATACCATACAAATTTTAAGCTTTTGGTATAAATTTTCTTGTTTAGAAGAAATGGTACACATCACAGGGGGACATGGCTAGTGTTTCCGGCAATTCACTCCTTATGGTTATGGACCGCAGTCCGCAGTTTTAATACTTCCAAAAGTCAAAATCTTACTTCTGTAAACAATTTATTGGTTTTGTAGTTTTTGGTTATCAATACAAAGTTTTCCTTGTACACATAAAATAATTTTACCTACTGTATTCTTAACTAATGCTTCTGTATTAATAACACAAGTCGACAAAAATCGTCGTTTTTTCCTAGACAAAAAACACTCTCAGAAGTAACTTTTCTTATAGACTGCCAAAATTATTTTCTTTGTCGACTAGTGTAATTACATTCAGTTTTTTGCTGTGACTTTTGGATTTGTACCTGAACTTGTTTTGGATGCATTTGTTCTCATGGAAGATCTATATCAAGCCCATTCGATATCCCTAGCAAAAATAGCTCCCTTCATTTTAATTTCCATTGTTCTCTGATTCTGATTCCGACTTATATCACACACATAATATCCCACGTTACGGAAGCAAATTTGCTATTTCGCAATGAACATTTTCTCAGATTTCACCTTTTCAGAAATGGAAATGGAAATTCATTAAACTAGCTTGAAGAACAATTTTTAAAGTCAATACGTTTCTATGTCAATCAAAGTTAAACCAGATCTTCGAAAGTGAAATCCGGAACATGCCTGATGTTTGTGAAAAGAGCAGCTGCTTTTGGACTTTCTCATAGGTACGTACGTTCTGATTACTCATATCTCTGTTCAAGTGCTTTGGCAAACTAACAAACTAATACAAAAAGCTAACAACAAGTTCGACTACACACATAAAGCTGACGAAACGAAACAGAATGAAGACCTGCGGCCCAGTACGCCGACCCCAGTTACTTCATAATACTAGAAAGGCTGGTGTAACCACTGTTTGCCTGCACGGGCTCCTGCTGGCGTCCACAGCGTCCGCAGCAGCAAATGCTCTTCACCACATCCAGGAAGCTCGTCTGGTCGAAGTCATCTAGATCGGTCATGAAGACTCCGGAACTTATATCCTCTGCAGTGCGGGTGCCGACAAAAGCTTTAAGATCGGTGGTGGGAAAGCCATCCTTGTAATACGCCTTAATCGTATCGTAGGCATCCATGATGACGGCAATGAACAGCGACAGAACAACGTAAATATACAGAGATATAAACGAGTACAAGTAAATCTGGCAAAACCACCACAGCCAGGTGGCCTTGCTCGAAAGTGTGGCAAAGGTGGCAAACATATCATCACCGTTTATCAACGCGAACAAACACTCTGACGTGGTGGCCAGCGAACGGAACTTCATGTGGTAGGGTCCCAGAATCAGCCAGCCGCAGAAAACGAATCCCGCATAGATTAGCAATGCAGCGATAAGGAATCGCAGAATCTTTGGTGCCGCCTTCTTTAACGTTAGTATCACAACGTTGTAGGTTTTAAAGAAGCCCAGGTAGCGCAGTACTCCAAACCAAACGAGCAGATTGCCGATTCCCAGGAATAGCGAGCAGGTATCCCACTGGTCAACCACCATGTACCTTCCCTCGATTTGCTCTTTCAGAGCTGATCCAATGATCAAAAGGACGTCGTTGAAAATTATCATGATGTACCTGTAAAAAAAGTACTGTTATAGATCATTTGAATTTTAGGTAGATTCGGACTTACAACAACCTTGGAACTCTGTGAGAGATTTGTCATACCATTATTTGAAGTTAAAATATTTGTCAAATAAAAATAATATTAAAAAATGACTAATGTCAATTATGCTGGTGAAATCCAAGGTGGTTGTATAACCCATTAATAGTAAAAACTCACCAGAAGTTAACAAACTCCAGTCGGCCATCGAAGCTCAGCTCCTTGCCAAAGTGCGACCGGAAAAAGTTCACAGTTGTACATCGTAACAGGTAAGCTCTCCACAAGGCTCTCGTGCAGAGAGCAAAGGACAATGCGCAGGTTAGTAGGACGAATATATTGAGAACGCTTCGCAGCATGGAATCAAAGTTCGCCTCCGATATAAAGTCAGTGGCGCCGTGACACTTTAGTCTTGTCGCCTCCGCATCCAAAGAAAGCAGCATCTGCCCGTCGTGGTCTCGATTGTTAAACATTATGGAAATGTCAAAACGAAAACAATCGGGTGCAGAAAGTGGGCCTCCATTGGCCTTGAAATTCACTGTCTTAATCTTGAACGTCAGCTGTGCGGAGACGAGAGATGCGAAATTGACATTCACATCTCGCTGCCGAAGATAATTCTCTACCCCAATGGTGGTCACATTAGGCGGCAGGTGCTCGCACACCTCGTCGATGTGGGGATCGAATATGTAAGACTCGTTGAAGCCGAATATGGTCCCTTCTCTATAGTTCTGCAGACACAGCTTCAACGGTGGCATCGTGTTGTTGGGGGTTGGGTAGTCATAAGGCCCAATCGATCGGCTCACATTGGCATATCCATCGACAGCATACTGTACAGTGTCGAAGAATTCCGATTTTAGGTATAGGGCAAAGGGACCCACCGCAGGCGGGTAACTCTCCACCTCCCGGGAGGAGTCCCAGCCCCTCAGGAAGAGATGAGAGAAGGCAAAACGGTTATCACCCGTGTAGTTGATGTGGTTATACCGCGAGTGGGCAAAAAGGCACAGTTGCATCGTCACCAGAAAGATCTTTACAATCTGAAAATGTTACGAGGTGAACATTATTACCTTAATAGATAACTTAGTATAAATTGTAGACTTCTTATCTGCTTTTGGTCGTATATGGGCGGCAGTTCAGTGATCTAGAAAGCTTATCTATAAATAAATGCCGAATTATGCCAGTGCGTCAGAATACATTCATTGGGTATCTGCACCGAAATCTGATTTCTTTTTGTAGAAATCATGTCTACTTTAGGGAATTCTTGCATCGCTTTTTATTTCTAGCCTACTCTCTTATTAATCATTTTAATAATTCTCATAAAATTTAGCACTTAAAAAATCCCCTTCAATCGAACATTTATCATGAAATAAATTGAAAATTTTGTACGAGGGCGCCCACACGCAGTATCTAGTCATAAAATACGCGAACTTTCCTTAGGTATATTACGTATTATTCTAACTATAGTTCGAGCTCCAAGATAAGGCATCGATAAGAACGGAGAGCTTAACAATGCAAGCAAAATAATCAAGGGTGGGTTGACTATACCCCATTTTACATGTTCAAAAGCTAGGCAAACAATAAAACTTGGAGAAGGCTGATTAAAGGCGTCTGTGAATTGAGCAAAACCCCAAAATGTGTGAATCGAATGTGTCACCCGATTTCCGCCCCCAAGCCCTGCGCATCAGACCACATCAATTAAACGGTGTTTAAACCAGATGTGAGTCGAATTCAAAACCCGGATGGAAACCCACCTGCACGACGAACTTATAGGGGAACTTTCGCTTTGCCTGCCACTTCTCGATGGGATTCATGAAGAAGAACTGCAGTTTTCGACGCATTCGCTCCTCCTGGTAAGAAGCGGCCGAGGATCCAGGAAACTCGGGTTGCTCCTCGCGCCCGTCTACGGAGGGCGGAGCAGTGCCACTGCCACCGGACACGGGCATGGCTATGGGCATTGGCACTACGGGGGCTACCGGAGTTGACTGCAGCTGCACTTGGCGACGTAGGATCCTGGTGTTAACATACTCCTCGTCACTCTCCGGCGACTGCTGGTGTTGCTGGGCAGCTTCGTAGCTGTCCGTTCGGCGCTTCACGGCCGGAGCTGTCTCAACTCCGGAGCCGTAGCTCTGCATCTCGATGTGCTCCTCCTTCGTCGCGAGGTCAAATCACCTGCGTTGTTGTTCTCCGTGCTAACTTTCTTTTGCCCGCCCAGTCGACATGCAAAAGAACAATTCGCACAGGCTCAACAAGCAATCGGGGAGGGAAGGAATATAGAAACTTGGTAATTAAGGCGCGACTCTTGCCAGCAAAATTAACTTAAATACTGGCCGAAAAAACAAGATAATTGCTTTGTTTTCAATTGAACAATAGTCGATACATTTGCGTTGCTATCGATATTCCCAAAAGAAAATGTTAGCTATCGATAATTCCGTTCATGCATATCGATTGTGTTAGCTGTTAAAATTCTGTAACAGCTTGTGCTTACGCTTTTATACTGTTACGATGTTAAGCGGCTTTATTTAAACAGAAAAAATCCGATGTTTAAGATTTAGATATTTTAAATATTTAACTCTGGATAACCAGTAAAGTTTTATAGACGGTTATCTTTACATTGGCAGATTTTTTACATTTCCTAACTGGTAAATTAATAAAATATAAATTAATGTATTATGCAAAGTGCCGAAAAATTATTAATGCTTTTCGATATTCATACAGTTAGATCATTGACATTTCTATTTATTATGGCGCTCGTCCCTAATCATATTGATTGATATTTGGTTTATATATACATTATATAAATTATATTGCCAATACAATTTATATTTGAACGGAAATTGTTATTCACGTTATAAGTAGAATATCAGCCAGTTGATAAATTCCTTTAGGCATGGCACCGTAATATCATAATAACAACAAAAAAAAATTAATTAATTATATAACAGGATCAAAAAATTAGTGTTCGGTGGAAACAAGTGTCTCGGTTTCGGCGTCAAGTGAAATATAACCCGTTAATATTCAATGTCATAAAAAGCTATTCAAAAACAAAATGTTCGCCCTTTTCGCCAAGAAGAAAACATTTTACCATATGAACTGGGATCGATGGATACAACAGATCGAACTGAAATACCTTTGTTCTCTTCTGAGATCAAAACCTTGGTTGGAGAGATATGAAGTTAAGCAACAGAAACATGAAAACCGCTTCTGTACAACACAATTTTCGCCATCCTATTTTAAATGCGCAGAAAAGCATGCTACACCAATTTTTCCAAGAAAAAAAATTTAAAATGTAATTTTTAAACAATTATTACATTAAATGCATAGTTTTTTATATAAAAATATTTGTTTAATTTAATTGTTAAGGTAATTTTAAGAACTTTAGCTTCGAAAAACCCTGAATATATCTTCTTTGTGAATTTGCCCCATTTAGCAACTGAGTTTGGATAAACAAATTTTTAATAGTTTCTTGTTTGTATTTATATATGGCAAATTTAACAAATTTTATTTTAAAAATATACATACATACATACAGCTAAAACACCACGCATGGGGCGCCTTCTCGCACTTCTCTGCTCACAATTCTCGTTCATAATTAATTAATTAAAATTATTATTTTAGTTGTAGAGACTTAAACATTACGTACAATCACACGCACTTAACTACGTACTAGCAAAACACATTGATACATTACATTTTTCATTATCTTTTTGTTTTTCAAATACATAAATTAACTAGGTTATGTTTTAAGCATAATTTGTTTGCTGCAGCGCATCATTTATAGAAAGCAAAAAATTTCGATTACATTTACATAAAATATTTGTTTTTTGATTCTTCATCGTCGTATAAATATGTGTGTGGTTGTGTGTGTGTGTGTATTACATTTACAAACGTACATTTAGATGTGTGGGTGTGTGTGTGTATTTTATATAAAACAATAACTAGTCTGAAGACCTTGTGACTAGACGGTTTTTTCGGCTTCTCTAATATGTATATATGTAGAGTTATCAAATATATGCTATGTATGATTTTCGCTTCAGCTTCTGCTCGCTCCTGCTTCGGGATCGCAGGATTTCCATTGAAATCAAGTAAAAATAGATTGGAGTCCCGGGGACAGTTCAAATCGTGCAATGCCAGAGCAATAAACTATTTAGGAGCAGGCTGGTACATGTTTATAAGTGTAGGACTTCCAACACAGACACACAAATCGTTCGATCAATACAAACAACAATACATAAAACAAAGAAATAAGCCAAAAGACGATCGTTTCCTGCTCGACACGGTTCCTGAGTAACTTTTCCACCTCTCTCATCCGGCTCATCCTGGTCATTCTGCTCCACCTTTCTTAGTTTCTACGCTGCCTCCTCGTTATCTCTATACTATACTCTCACGATCCCGGCCCGCTGCCGATGGCGCCATGTCCGTAAATCCAGTTCGTGCTCCGTGCACGCCGCTGGGCAGGATTCCTATTCGCCTAGCCTCACCGCTGCGTACCCCGTTGCCCTTGAAGATGTTTGTCATCCAGTTGGTCAGCTTGCTGCCACCAGCTGTTTTGGCTCTGTGCTGATTAGATGAGCCGCTGAGGAAGTCAAGGTCTCCGGGCTGGCGGTTATCAATGTCGGCGGCATAGCTCACGTTATTTCCACCATGGCCACCGGGTCCATCCATGTGCTCCATTGAATGCCAGCGTTTGTTGTGCGTCAATATCTCCGGCGGAACTGACAGCGATGCCTGGCGTTGCAGCAGCGGTGACTCAAGATCATCCTCGACATTCATTCCGCCGTTGCAGTTGTTGTTCAGATGCTTAGAACAGTTAATACCACCTCCTCCTCCTGGTCTTCCTGTAGGAACAGTGCTGATTTGGGCATTAGGAAAGCTGCCTGAATAGCGGAGTGGGGGCAGCTGACCGTTGTCGTGCCGCATCAGCAAGCCCAACTCATCGTCGTAGCCATCCGTTGCATCAACCGGATTGGCGGACATCTCGTCATCCAGATCTATCTGACTTGATTCTACTTCTCCATTGGGGTTCCCACTGATCAGCGATACACCCGTGTCTAGCGATCGCGAATTGTTCTTGGACAACTTGGAGGGCGGCAACTTCACCCTGTCGTGGCGCTTGCGCAGTTGCTGCATGGGCATGGGGTCCAGGGAACGAGACTCTCGTAACAGCATATCTGCGGAGTCATCCTCAATATCTCCCAATTGCGGTAACTGGGCAGCACTAATAATCCTGTGCGGGCGCACCATGGCCAAAGGCTTGTGCAGCGCATTGGGCTGGCGCACTAGTCCTGATCCAGATCCTGACACTCCTCCCGATCCCCCATCCATATCACAGTTCGTTTCGTTTGTTTCGGAATGATTCAGCGTGCTGAGCGAGGCTAATGCGGATTCGAGTAGAGCTCCGCCAACAAAGTGCCCTGCGCCCGGCCCATTGATGGAGGGTCGCTCCCAATCCCTGTCCCGTCTGCTGACCATGCGCGGTGATTCCCTCACAGATCCCTGGAGGCTATAAGTGGACTCGCCGTCAAGCAGCCTGGGAACAGTGCTTTGGCGTCTGGATCCGCTACCGCAGTAGTGCATGGCCAGGATGCTTGGCTGCCGAGAGTCGGGATTCAGTTTTGGACTCTTTCGTGGACGGCTGAACAACGGCGGCGGCATGTCCAACATATCCACCAATTTCTTCTGTATCGCATTCTCATTGGCTCCAGTTAGCCACCAGGTAACCACCTCGCCCTTGCCCTTCATATTGACGAGGCCTCGTTTCTCGGTTATGTAGCCACCGCCCAGTTTGTCCAGCGCCAGCTTGCACTTGTTGGAAATGTGAATCTTCAGCGCCTCTCCGTTGCTCTCCATTCGCGACGCTGTGTTGACGGTGTCGCCAAAGAGGCAATACCTCGGCATCGTGAGACCAACCACGCCTGCCACCACTGGGCCTGTATGCATCCCGATACGCAGCTTTAGCGTCTCGTTGGGACGATGGGCAATGCGATGCTGCTTCACCGCCTGGAGCAGCTCCAGGGCCATCGAAGCTATCTCGCCCGCATGTCGATCACCGTTCTTAATTGGCAAACCCGAAACCTGAAATAGAAGGAAGAAGAAATCATGTAGGATTACTTTAAAGTATAAAGAAATAGAGGACTCTGCACTTACCACCATGTACGCATCTCCAATTGTTTCCACTTTGTAAACATCATAGCCGCGTATGATGCGATCGAACACTGTGTAGAGATCATTCAAAAAGTTAACCACTTGGAGCGGTGTGCTCTCCGCCGACATCGCAGTAAAACCAACAATGTCGCTGAAATATATGGTGACCTGGAGAGGGATGCGGAGAAATAAAGTTAAAACATATTCTCACTTTCTTTCAACCTTTTCATTCGACTTACTAAATCATAGGATACCGGCTCAACTCCCTGACCCATGGTCAACTTCTCGGCCACGGACTGCGGCAGCATGCGATGCAACAGATCCTCTGTTTTAATTTTCTCTTCGCACAGAAGACGGGTACGCTCGGTGACAATCTCTTCCAAATTGTTGGCATACTTCTCCATCATTTCCATCATTTGGTCCATGATGTTCTTGGTCCTACCGCCACGCATCTTTTTCAATCGGTTTCTAGGCAATGATGCAAATTCCAAATTATTTCACTTTCTTTAAACTTTTTTAAACTAAAACTTAATACCGTATGACACTGAATTCGGGTCGCTCTTCGGGCTCCTCGGCCCAGCAGTCCTTGATGCAGGCCAGAACATAGTCCGGACACGACTCGGCCTCTATGATGGACTCTACCTCCGGCCGGAACGGATCCTCTCCCTTGAGCGGCAGCTTCTTGACGTAGTCCACGATTTCCTTTGGTTCAAAGTTGATTTGTCCGAACGGACCCTTACGACTAAATATTTCGTACATGATGATGGCAAAGGCGTATACGTCGCCCTTCTGGCTGCCGTGGATGTGATTCCGCAGCAGCTCCGGAGCACGCCAAAGTTGATCTGCAAGTGGACAATAGTTGATAATGATTTAAAGATTTAAAGGAACAAGGTTTTAGGGAGATCTCACTTCGATAATGCTGATGCTCCCCGATGGATTCGTTCTCGGCACACTGGCGCAGCTCGTGTAGCCCGAAGTCGGTGACTTGAAGCATCCAGCGCGAGGTTACCACACAATTCGAGGACTTAAGGTTACCATGATAGACCAGTTGAGAATTGTGTATGTAGATCATGCCCTGTAAAAAGGATATTGGAAATGGTTTAACAATTTAAGGCCCTCTGAGATTTCTACTCACCTTGATGAGGTCGTGAATGAGTGAGGCAATGAATAGATCATCCAGCTTGATATCCTCGTTCTCTATGATATCGTAAAGACTGCCTTTGGCACAGTAATCGGTGACTAGAAGTATGCGTGTGGGCTCTACACTGGCGCCAATGAAGCTATTGATGTTGTCGTGACGCAATTCGCGGAGCAATCGCATCTCCTTCATGATCTCCCTGGAAATGTCACGTTTCCGGGGGAACTTCAACTCCTTGATACGGACAACAGCGCCACGCAGGCGACCAGTGGATGTCACAAACTGGTTGGTCCAGCGGGAACCATAGCTCTGGGCACTCATCACACTGATCTGTGAAAAAAACAATGGCTTAGCTTAATATGTAATTTAGAAAGTCAAATTAGAAGTCTTCTCTTACCTTACTGGGAGAGGACACAATTTCATTGCCAGAATACCCCTTAATATCGTTTGGGTCGATCTTCCAGAGTAAACCCTCGATCTCTAGCTCTATTTTCCACTTTCGATATATGCTCATGGTGATCACACCGGAGCAAAAGAGAAGCACGCCCAAAACCACGGCGGCAACAGTGGACGTGTAGTGGGTGTCATCCTTTTTACAGAGCTCATTGGCAAAGCCGCACATCGGTTCATCCGCTGGCTTCTCACCGCCCGATGGCCAGTCTATGGAGCCGTTGATGAGCTTGTACTCCTGTCGTACACAAGAAAATCAACGGAATTTAATGAGTTAAGATGAAAGTTTTTGAGGCACGCAAGATAAGCGGAAACCAATCGAAAAGGCAAACGAAAAAAAAGACGACTCACTCACTGGATGTTCTTCGCCTTGGTGAAAGTAAGCAACAGGAACCATGTGATAGTTGCAGGGCATGTTATTGGAGTTATTCCACTTGTGGGGCTTGTAGGCCAGGACCGAAAAGTTACCTTCCGAGTCGCCATACTGATCGATCTTGATCTTGGATCCAGTGATGCCTTCATGTGGGATTTGAACAATAATTAAACATATTTTTCAAAATGCAAATATCAATGGAAAACCCACTCATATAAGTACGGTTTTTGATTATGGTATCGATGACTCGAGTCCCGTTGCTGGCCACCTCAAAGATCACTTCATCTGTCAGCACTCGGGTCTCCTGGCGCAGCATTTTGTCCACAGCCCAGGCATACAGCTTCACCGAGTCGTACAGGTAGGCGGCATATATCGATATGAACTAAACATAAAGAGGTAAAATATAGGTTAAAAAGCTAAGGTTATTAGCTAAGTTAAGGTACTTACCTTGCTAAAATTACTATCGACAAACAGCTTGGGAATCGATAGATTAAACGGAGGCTGCGAGCTGTACTTTTGGACTTGTTCTGTAAACTGTATGTAGTCCTTTGTGGGAGGCGTGGAGGCTACGACGAGCAGACTGCGGGCCATTTGATTGAAGTTCTCCGTGGTTTCGCAATTCGACATTTGTGCTATTTGATCTACTTTGCGCAGGTACTTCTCTGCTTCTCTGGAATAAGGATTCACCACAAAGTACTTGTAAAACTGATTGAATCTAACAGATTTGCAGAAGCCTATTACCTCTCGGAATAGACCATCATGTCCACAAAGATCACCATATACTCGCCACGAGCAAACAGGCCAGCGGTCTGCATGGAGCTCATAAAGTCCACCAGACTATTGGCTGCTCCCAGAAATACGTAGATCCGCGTGAGGTTCATCGTGTTTTGCACTAACTGTTAGGGGAAATCACAAACAGATATTACGGGAAAGCGACTTTAATCTTAATCAAAGCTCACCTGATACCAATAGCCAGAGCGACAGCATTCCATCATCTGCTCACAGCATTTGGCTCGATTGTCCATGAACACCTGCCTGTGGTTTATAGTCATATTCCGCTTAGTGGCCTGATCCTTGAGCAGGTCTGCCACCGGACCCCACACATCCTCGTACAGAATGGAGAACTTGTTCCACGCATAATATCGGAGAAGGGCGAGCAGCGACTTAACGACCTGAAAAATGCAAAAAGCGAAGTCCGCCATGTGAGTTGTGCATCAAGAGAAATGTCAAAGGATTACCAGGAATGTGCGGGGCCAGACCAGCACACATGTCACTGGCTTTTGTTTTAGTTTAACATACGACGGAGGGAAAGCAAATAAGTTAAGATATATTATGTGTATATAATGCAATTTTGATTGAAATATATTTAACATATTAGGTAAATTAAATTAAATATTTAAAACGGCCATTGGAAAGTACAAATTTTTAACATAATTTCATTGTATTACTTTCTTTAATAAAATAAATTTTTAAATATTTAATAACTGCTTTAAAAGCAACAAGTATTTGTATTTATTCTTTCTTACTGCTTTTCCCACCCCTAACGTATAAATAAAAATTCAAAGAATTTTTATATTTCGAGTTTCTACTATATAAATATTTTTTCTTTTAGCCGCAATGGTAAAACGTTGAATTTTCTTTTGTCTTGCGAGTATCTCTTCTCATTGCTTTCTCCTCTTAATTTTGCCGTTTGTTGTCTCCGCTCTGAGGATAATCCAAGGCTAAATAGCTGTCCCTGTCGAGTCACAAAGCCACCGCAAGAAGGGCCTCCCACCCATACACCTATCCACCCATCCACCTGTTGCCCACTGTGTTTACTCACCTGCGTATCTGGCGGTTCGGTGCGGGCGAATGTCGGTATGGCGGATGCACGGTACTCTGCACATTTCTATCGAAAAGGAAAACAGAGGAACCGCCGTGAAATAAGAAATTTAGTTGCATGAAAAATGCGTTGCGCGAAATTGTCTGCTGCCGTGGCAGGGCATCATGAATCAGGCGCTTGAAATACATACATAGGAAATCATTGGAATGTTTCGACTCTGCGAGACGATGGCCTCCACATAGCATGGTCCTTCCGGTCCGAAAATGGTTGCGATGCCATCGCATATCATTTCGGTGATGGCTTTGGTGGCCAGTACCGTGTCCCCCTTGGTGTCATTCCAGCGCAGGTCCAGCACTACATTTGGCAGCAGATTAGGATCTTTGTTGACCTGTTTTTGGAATGAGATTGATTTAGCGATAGTTTGATTTGACTGTTTTATATAACCTGTACTTACCTCATCCAGGGCCATAGTCAGGGCACCGGATATGGCCAGTCCCTGGCGCGTCTTGAGCTCGCCAGTGAGGGCCGTTAGGTAGCCGACTGTGAGGACGGTGCGATGATTGCTACAGTCGCGGACTGCCACCGACAGCAAGAGTAGTAGATTAAAGGGCCAACGCGTCATGGCCCCTTAGGCCGGGGCCGTTCAGCGCGACGCCTATGGGTCCCAACAGATTCTCACACTGCAACAAACAGAAGAGGAGCAGAGGGGTTAAGGATCAGCACGGGGAGCAGAGACAGAAACTAAAACTAAGTGAGGATGCAATTGAAACTGCCAAGGACCCCTTTGCATAATAAAATGCATGTTTGACAAAGGCAAACACAAATAGAAAACAGCATTCTGAACGCATTTCAGACACTTGGCTTGATTCAGATGAAAGAGCTGGAAGGCAAAGAAGCTGGAGAGCAGACCAACCGGCCAGCATACACACAGAGAAGAATCTTCCAATTTGCACTTAAAACTAATCTGGATCAATCTAAGTCCGTTTATACATAAATAAATACTAATTTAAACATTTAATCTCAAATCAAAACTACATTATTTAATAAAAAATAGAAGAACATTTTAAGACTATATAAAGAAAATTGATTTTTTTTTCCTGTTTATCAATAAGCCAGAGCCCTGTCCTGGGAACACGATGCTTGACAAGTGGCCACGCAAGAAAATGTCAAATGTGGAAATGGAAAACTTCAATATCGTTGACCATTCGGCAGCCGAAACGAGCATAGGAATTTTTTAATTAGACTTCAGTCTGTGTGCCACTAGAGTTAGGGACGAATCAGTGATAAGTAGCTTACTAGGGAGGCCTCTTTCATCCAGGAATTTCATTCATTCCATCCACATGGACAGCCTCGTAATGCCGTGTGCACAGCTTGTTATTATTAATTATGCATGCGCTGATTTTGTCATTATGCAATTTCGTTTGAGGCATTAAATATATATCGCTGGCTATTTTGTTTCAGACATTTGTTTGTTATTATCCCTGCCCACGCAAACACAGCCACTCCCACTCCCACTGCCACTGCCTGGGATCCTAGCATTGTCCTGATTGTTTGCGCAGGAATGAAAGCTTATTCCATGGGATTGGATTACGGAACTGTTCGGTTGGATGATGGCGTCGCTCATCCTTGTTTGCCGTCCTTTTTTTTTAACAAGCTCACGTGTAAGTTTAATTAAGAGAATAAAAGAAATTCCAAAGCCAGCGTTAAGCGCAATGGAGGGGAATTTTTATAATTATAATTCAGCATTTAATTCAGTTAATTTTAAAGAAGTTGTCAACTGCTATGCAGGAAAATGAATCATTAATTTTTATGAAATCACAATGGGCTAAATATTTACACTTTTAATGCATTTATTATCAATTTTAATGAGTTTAAAATAGGGACCTGCGTGTGGGTTTCATTGCTTTAAATATACAAACTTTGGAAAAAGTAAAACCAATCGTAAATCTCTACGACAATTTTCCTTTTAACTGGCTTTTTGTCTTATGAAAACTCGTGGGAATTCCATAACTTAAAATACCTAAGAATCTAAGTTTCTGCAGTTCCCTGTAGTTTGGTAATCTTTCTAGCACCCCAAAAACTCAATCAACAATAATCGGCGGAATGCTCGCGGCGCCATAAATTAGCATTTCCGACACACTTCACAGAGCGTATTTGTTTCTTGAAGTTGTTTATTTTTCGCCAATGTTGCAATTTAAAATTAGAACTACTTGGTTGGTCTATCTAAATGTGGGCACCACTGTTAAATATTTGCGCATCATTTTGACACAATGCGAAACGCGCTTCCGAGAACCCGAAAATAATGGAATTTAAAAATAGTTCAGCTAAACTGCGGTTGATATGAAAAAGGCCATTTCCCAGAATCTTGATTACCAAATCAGCCAGCGTATAATCAAAAGCTAAATTTAAAAAACGTAGCTTACATAATCGTAGTGCGGGAGAGAAACTATTCATCACCATTGGAGTTTTATTAATGAGCTTCTAAGCTTACCAAATGACTCTTAAAATGTGTTTCACAGCAATGGCGAAGTATTCTATTAATACCTAAACTCTTTCCTTTGTTAGACACTACAATTAAGAGTCTAGAGATTAATTAAAATAGAAAATCCATAATCAATATTTATATGCTAACAATCCCTTTTCGAATTACGTCACATGAGTACTATATTCAATGTTTAGATCCCCTTCGGTCTCAAATCCCACATCATGTTCGTTATTTGTCAGTTGTTGGTCTAGAAATTTTTTGTTTTTCCGACTCGAAAGTTTTTACCTTTTCCCGTCGAACGCTCCTCCGGCAAAAGGCACTCAAAATTCGATGTTCACTTGAAATTCAGAGCCCGTCCTTAGAGCGTACTGGAGAGGAGTCGCCACCGTGGTCGCTGGTGCACCTGAAGAACCTGAGTTCGATTCCGAATCCGAGGGCCTAAAGCTGCTGACAGGGGGATCCCCAGATCAAACTCCATATCCACACGTTCGCCTTGAAGCCGAGGGGTCGTTGCATTCGTGAACTATGTGACAGCGGCACTTCAGGGACAGAGCCAGGGTCGGGTTTACCACTGGGTCTCCGGAGCACCAGGAGCCTAATATTGCAACGCCACAGGGCACAAGATCCGGGAAGCTCTCGCGGATCGCCGATCGTCAAAGGACCCGGCGCCATGGCCATTCACGAGCAGATCGACAACCTGAACATCTGGTGGTTTCCGCGCGACTTCTGCCAGTCGCGCTTTGGCGAGTTTCAGCAGAGCGGCACCAACTCCTGTACCCTCATTTCCCTGATCCTGGCCGACAAGGTGGCCAAGGCGGATAGGTTTTATCACAGGGTCTCTGATCTGCCAATGCGGGGATGGGAGCTCTTCGGCAACGCCATGAACGATGGAAACAATGTGTACCACAATGTAATCACCACCAACACGCCCCAGGCCAGGAATCTCAACCTCAACATTCCGGATGCGATCGCGGCCATTCGGTCGCAGCACAAGATTAACTTCCGGCTGGAAGAGTGGTTCTACACACACATGGAGGCCGATCCCAGCAGTCCCATGTACAACCGGAACGTGGCCGTGCAGCTGTCGCGGATCTTCCAGATCACACTCCAGGTCTTCCAGCAGGCCAGCGTGCGTGACAACATGCCCTCGCATCTTTTCGCCGCCATCATTGCGGACAGTCGAACAGTGATGGTAACCTTTGACTTCCGGGCCTCGATCGTCGCTCTCTTCGACTCGCACCAGCATGGACGGGATGCGGGCGCCGTCTTCGCCCAGTGCACGCTCCAGAACATGGACGATCTGCTCTTCTGGTTCATAAGCATGCTGCACAACGTCTACTCCAGCCGGCCCTCGCTCTTCGAGATCTCCTTCCTCAGCTCCCAGCCGGGTGTGGCCAAACGGATCCCGCCGGCCATTAAAAAGATAGCCGGGGACTTGAAGAAGCCGCTTAAGATGAACATTCCCAGGCCCTCACATTAATCAAAATGCCAAAGGAACTCCATTCAGTACGCCATCTACTTTTAAGGAAATAGATCTTGGATCGGGCCAGAACTTTGGAACGAATGGAAGGGACTTTTCAATCCCAAAATCTCAAATTTCATATAGCCAAATTTGTATTTTTGGGCGCTTAAAAACTGCAATCAAAATTTTCAGTTGACCAACAACGAATAAATAGCGAACAAAAATGCTTTTCGCTTTCTCAATTCATAGACTAGATGGGCAACTTTGGAAGTTTTTCACTGTCGCTGAAAAGATCTAGTTATAGCATCACTGCCATGGATTATCTCGTTTATTTGCCAATTCTATTAGCTCAGATCTTTTAAGAATCAATCAAATATGATTCTGCAAGTCACTTAATCAGCTTTCAATTTAGTAAGTGCTGCGATTTGATTCTGAACCAATTTTGCGAAATTCCAATACGCAATTTGAGCTTTTCCCAGCACGTTCGTGCAAGTGGTATTAAAACTAAACTCCTAACTTATAGCGAACTAAAAAGTGACACTAAAATGTGTTTAGTTGTGAACACGTATTTACCTTCCCTGTGTGTGGCTGTGTGCGTTTTTGTTGATATTTGCTTATTTATTATTTCTGTTACCCAATTACACTTGAGTAAACAATTAAGTTAAGAGACCCGAACATCTGCGTGGGGGATTTTTCCCTGCTACTGCTATTTGGCCTCCCTGCTAACTTAATGGCTTTAAAATTCAAGAAAAAGGAAAACAAGAGTTAGAGTTGAACTTTGTAACGGGAATCGAGAGATAGAGAGACAGGGAGAGAGAGAGTGTGCAGGGCGCGTGTGGTTTTGCTGTATTTTTCTCGACTTCTAATCAAAATGAGTTAAATAAACACATAACGTAACCTATTAAGAACTTAGTACGTGACAACAATTTAAATATTTATAAAGTAAACAGAGAGCCCAGAGAGAAAGGCGTAGAGGGAGAGGAGCGGAGCGGAGAGGAGTCTAAAAATAGAATCACATATCAAAGAAAATATGAGAAAACAAATCGAAAACCGAGGCGCAAGACGTGATAAAGCGTTTAACGTTAAATGTGGAAAGCAGCCAGAGAAGTCAAAACAGAGAAGCAGAGAAAGACGAGAGAACTTTAAAGAGAGGGAGAGAGCCAGAGAGAGAGAGAGAGGAAGAGCAAGAGCAGTGCAGCTGAGTTGTAATCAACAAACAAACGGCCACCAGTTGTGTAATATGAAAAATACAAATCGCGTAGCCGCAACGTGGGCCTTACTACACTTAATAAGATGCTCTCTTTTTCTCTCTCCTTCTCTCTGGGTTTATGCCCCTCTCTTTCACACAGCGCAACAAGTTGCAGTGGGGTTTTTTCTGTGTTTTTTGTTTGGGGCGGGGATCCGTCTTTATTGCACTTTTCAGACGAAGTTGTTTGCTGCTGCACGTGTGTATACACACACTTGCGTACAATTTGTCTGGTTGTCTATAAATAAAACCTGCATGCTAAAAATAGAAACCAGACGCAAACACGACAATCCATTGGCCAGCGGATAAACCAACTCGACATTACATATTTCAACAAACAAACATCACCAAGGGGGTTCCCCGGAGAGGGGGCAACAGCAACAGCGCTTTTCGAGAAATAGAAAATCTGGGGTTTCCCAGAGGGGCACAAATAACACGCACCATCACAATGTGCGTGCCTCAGTCACCGACAATTGTCATCGACATCGCCATCATTGACTCACTGCCGGGTTTTTATAACTACATCTATCACACGCCAGACCACCGTAACGTTCTATATACCATATAGACACATTCCCAGTTTCACTACCATTTCAATCTTCGCATCTGGCAAAAGACTTGTGTTGCGCTGTTGCTGGACTCTTAAATTAATGTCTTTATCGAGATACGTTTTGTATGGAACGGAGTTTCGCTTTCATTGGGGCAGGTTTTTATCAAGTAGTTGCCAAAAGAAACTGATTTCCCTTCTTAACAAACACATTTTTTTAATTTTATGATCTATATATTAGTTGAAAATGAGCAAAATTAACTTTCAGTGACACTTTTATATAAAATGAAATAAGAAACTACATTATTTGTCCACAAAGATTTAAATCTATCTAAGGAGTGCTTTTTACCGACAGAGCTTTAAGTATATCCTGTAACCTAGCCCTGCCTCTATCTCTTCTTTTAGCTGTGGAATAAACTACACCTCTTGTCATATGTTTTTAAAATTAAAAGTAAGTAAGTAAGTAAGCTCAGAACCTAAGCTTAATATTTAAAATCAAGCCTTTCACTTTAAATTCCCTTTCGATGTTCTGTTTATTTTCGATTTGTTATTCGCCTGAATGGCAATCAGTTCAAGGACATTCTCGCACACTCCGAGAGACAGCCCATTTAAATCCTCTTGCTGCTATCAATCATCAACAAGTTAACCCCACAAAAGGGCACACCAACAGAACCCTCGGCCCAGAAACTGTCACACAGTGAAACATTATCTCACCGCACATAGAACACACAACACCCACGCGTGAAAGCCTGGAAAAAGGGTTCAAAGGCCCCTATGAGTAGGACTGAGCTTGGGCATCTGGGCCTTAGCTAGCCCACCATTAGTTAGATTATTGGGCCCAAATGTGCAATTTGATTTCATCGGCCTGTGAGACGCTTTCACTGAGAAAGAGAATGTGAGAGGATAATTTCTAATTAGAAGAGGGGCGAAGGCTTCCACTCCCGTAATGGGGAATGACGGAGAAGCCTTTAAACTTTACGCTTCACCGGGCGAGTGAAAGTTGAGTGGGACGGGCGGAACAGGACCCTGTCAAACGGATATGACAAATGAATGGCCATCTTGGCCTGGTCATAGGTGCTCCATTGCCGCAAGGACACTCCGTGCGACAGAGAACCGGGGGAGTGGTATTTCAGGGAGGAGCGAATGGCAACGGACAGCTCCTGTCAAACGAGCTGATTGCATTGCCTATGGCCAAGAGTAGAGAGCAGGATACAGAATAGTTTCTATAGGATAATCAAACACAAGAAACTAGTTATTTTCTTACTTTAAAAAAAAATGATATAGATTATTACCTTAAAGCTGCTTACTACTCATTGTTTGCTCTGTATTTCTGAATGTTAAGGGTTCATGAACCCGGAAGAGCAGTTAAATTCATTTACCAGGACGTCCCTGATTTCCTATCGCCCTCTGCAATCAAATTACCACACAGGCCAAATGTTCAATTGTTGCAAACATTTCTTTCCGTCGTTTCCCAAACACTTGCCACCTCCTTCGCCGGGGCAGCACAGTCCGTGATTCGAATTGAAATCAAGCATCAATAACCAAATACAGCCAGCATACAATTTGCTGAATGAAAGTGAAACAGAACTCCGCAACAAAAACAATTTCAGGGGGGCAAACAGACAAAAAACCAAATGATGCAAAAACTTCAATTTGTCCATGAACAAAAAATGAAATTCGAAAGAGGGGGGAGAGCAGGCGAATGTTTCGACGTTGAGTTTACTCACTAAATGATCGCAAATCAAAAATCTTCGAATTCTGTGCAAGTAACTCTGAGCTATATACCGAAAAAGCATTAATAGTGTTTCCAGCTAATATCTCCTGTCTTCCGCATACTCTTTAATAAACACATCATACCCACATTCCCTACCAGAGAGGGGTATAGAAATCTAGTTGATGTCATTGTTGAGATAATGGAAGAATACAGATGGTAATCGAAAAATGGAACTAAAAACAAGAATGGAGTGGAAAGCCATTGATGTTTGCATTGGGAAAATGTATATAGAGAACACAATTATTTTTTATTTTTAAAGAGAATGCATTGATGACCACAATGAAGTGACTAGTTTGAATGACATTTTTTCTATCGGAATAAATTAAAGGTAAAAAACATCAAAAACTAAAAAAGTAGTGAGAAAGGTGTAGTTTATTTCTACAATTTCAAGCATTGGTTGTAAGTAAAAGCGTGACTGAGTGGCAACAATTTAAAACGAAATCAATGTGATTTGGTCTGCTATTAGTTTGTTCTTGTTTTATTTTTATTTAGTCAGCTTTAAAGACAAGTTATTTGACATAATTTATAACTTAAAACTTTCTCTTGCTAGAAAATCAAACGCATCACCAAATTGTCATTCAAGAAAGTACTTTGCAAGTCTCAACACATTCGCTGCTTTGAAGTTTAATTAGTTCCATCTGAAGTCTGCAGAACGTAGTTAACGTTTTGAAGAGGAATTAGTCTCCTGCTGACTTACTTTTCTCATTGTTACAAATTATCCAGCTAACCAACAGACATGACTCTCGTCAAACTGAATTCCTAAGTGGGAAAGTGGGAAAGTGTTTCCATTTAAGATCGTTCTCGCTTCACTCGCAAATTGTTAAGGCTCGCTTAAGCGGGATGAGGACCAGAATATGGTGGCTGCATTGTCAGCACATGTGTTACAAACTGAAATTTCACTTTCAAAGAGACCAAAAGCGATGCTGATGCTGATGATGATGAGGTTGGGCTGTAGACAAGGAGGAGAGCCGCAGCTTCAACTTAAACTCCAGCCTCTGCGACCCCCTCCTCCTCCCATTGTGAGGCGCCGTTTTGTTGGCCTTAAAAGGAGACAACCCATGACGGCAGCTTTGGCATTTAACAAGCAAGACACAGCCCAAACGAAGCCAGAAAGAGAAAGATGCAAGTGCACTGCAAACAGTTATCACAGAGCAAAGATGTCTGGGAGACTATTCAGTTTACTCAGATAGCAATCTGCATTATTAATCTGCTTTATGAAATACACAAGGCAAATCACAGGCACTTCAAATAATGATAAGTCTAGTCAAACATGCATGTTCTATAAGACTTTTAATCATAACTACATCGAATTTTGCAAGTGTAAAGAGAGAGACCCCCACGATAAGGATAGGAGCGGGGCTACGACTGGTCCTAACCATTTTTGGGGAGCGGGTCCGGGCTGCAACTTCGGGTCGTGTGAAAGTGAAGGGCTCGCAGTGACTTTTGAGGTCGTTGCCAAAAATTTAGCTGAGCTGAGCTGAACTCCGCTGACAACAAGGCAGCCGCCAAGTGAAACATTTATGAGCGGCGGAGTTATGAGTGGAGGAGAAGCTTGCAATCTGAATCTGTGCTGCAGGTCGGTATCGCCATCTCCATCTCCGCTCGGACCCTCTCGCTTGCTCGCGGGTTGTCATGCAAAGCAGACTTGGGAGCTGCC